GGGTACCCGTGTACCCCCTGCACGTGTCTCACGTACCCCCAGGGGTACGCGTACCACAGATTGAGAAACTATGATCTAGACCAATCCCCACTTTCTGACTGTAACCAGCAACTTATACTTTACAAAAAGGCGCGAGAAGCATCACAGTAGACAGCTGTGGAGTAATCTGCCCCAATGAAGAGCTAATCCTAACAGACTTGATTACAGCAAACACAAAAAAAACAAACCTCTAAGAAATGCAGAAGCAGAGATTCTCCAGTCTGGACACAGGGAAAAATGGACAAAGACAGAAGTAAGAAAGAAATGAAGTAGTCTGGTAGCAGGCATCCATTTTTACTATCTACATAAAAAAAAAAAAAAAATCTACTCATCTTATTCAGGCACCTAGATGCTTGTTTCAAAGTCCCAAAATATTTTGGCATCTAAATGAAATCCTTTGATGCTTTCTGAGAGAAGCTGAGCATTACTGCGTCCAGTGATATTAGTAAGCCTTCAACAGTCAATCCTAAAATAATGTTTTTATTAAAAAAATTTAATATTGCTTAAAGCCACAAAATGGCATTATATGCTCCCTTTCTCTCTACCTCACATTCCCCCAAAAGGTACATTAAAAGCACCAAAGTAATTTGAAGACTCTTATTTTATCATGATGGCCTCTCCGACAGTATAATACAAGAAACTATGACATGAAAGGACACAGTAAGGAAATTTAAAAAGGACAAATCACTGGTATGTCGTTATTTGACATCTGTGTGAAACATAGATAAATCTTTTTGCACTGCAAAGCTGGTACAAGGGAAAGAAAAACTAGGATGTGGTGTTTTTAAAGATAAAGATTTGGCTTACTGAAGACACCACTACTGTGACAAATTCATCCCTTGTATGAATAGGAGCTTCCACGGTAATACCTCAGCAAACAGGGGCAGTAAATGGCAAGCAGTTTTCAGGCAGTTTGCTGGGAGCAAGAAGAGGAAGGGGAAGGGGAAGAGAAGCCAGGCACCAGATCTTGCCCAGGGAAGGATAAATGATCCAGAGCTGCCTGTGCCTTTGGGTTTGCTGAATGTTTGTTTGGTGGGGTGTGTGTGCTTTGAGAAGCTAGGAGTGTTGCTAGCTGAGTGATTGCTGCCTGCGCCTGACAGATGCCTTAACAAGGGGCCGGAGCCAATCCAGGCCCAGTAGAGTATAAAAGAAGACTCCCCAAGTGACCAGGGAGTCAACAAACAGGGGCAGCAAACAGGACAAGCAGTTTGCAGGCAGTTTGCCGGTCTGTTCACAAGCCAGTTTTGCCCCCCACCCTCCTTTGAGCGGTGAGCCTTTCAGCTTGGTGTGAGGAAACAGGGAAAAAGGAACCCTTCGTGGCCAAAAAACAGTAAGCAGGCCAGCTTTTAGGTGAGTTCACAAGGGAAGGTGTGCTTGGAAGAAGGGCAGTAAGAGAAGAGGCACATTAAAAGACTCTGGGAAATGGCTGGAGGACACTGAATGCCAGAGCCACTGCCATTGCCTCTGCTTGAACCTGAGAGGGCCATGTGCAATCCACCAAGTGACTTCTGTAAGTATCTGGGTGCAAGGGTGAAGGATTGCTAGGAAGAGACTGGATCCATCTGATGAAGAGGGAAGAGTATCTTTGCAGACAGGTTCCCTAATCTAGTGAAGAGGGCTTTAAACCAGGTTAACTGGGGGATGAAGACAAAAGTCCTGAGGTACGTGGGCAAGTTGGTGACCTGGAGGAAGAGCAAGCAGGAGGGGGCAAGAGGGGAGGTGTTCTCATTCTTCCTGAGAAATCAGGGCAATCACCTAGTTACTTCATGTGCCTACATGAATGCTTACATGAATGCTCATGCTTACTGCCTACATGAATGCTCAGAGCCTGGGAAACAAGCAGGAAGAATAGGAAGTCCTTGTACAGACCCAGAACTATGATGTGATTGGAATAACAGAGACTTGCTGAGATAGCTTGCATGACTGGACCACTGTCATGGATGCATATAAACTGGTCAGGAAGTACAGGCAGGGGAAAAGAAGAGTTGCACTTGATGCAAGAGAGCCATGTGATTGCTCAGACCTTCACTATGAAACTGGAGATAGGCCTATCGAAAGTCTCTGGGTTAGAGTCAGAGCGGAGAACAACAAGGGTGATGTTGCAGTGAGGGTCTGCTATAGGCCACCAGACCAGGAGGAAGTAGTGGATGAGACTTTCTTCAAACAGCTAGTGGAAGTTTCCCTAATCACAGGCCCTGGTCCTCATCAGGGACTTCAGTCACCCTGACATCTGCTGGAAGGGCAATACAGCAGTGCACAGGCAATCCAGGAAGTTTTTGGAGAGCATTGGGAACAACTTCCTGGCGCAAATGCTGGAGCAGCCAACTAGGGGCCATGCTCTTTTTGACCTGCTGCTTGCAAACAGGGAAGAATTGGTGGGGAATGTACTAGTAGATCGCAACGTAAGCAGCAGCGACCATGAGATGATTGAGTTCAGGATCATGAGGAAAGAAAGGATGAAGAGCAGCAGAGTAAGGACCCTGGACTTCAGCAAAGGAGAGTTTGACTCACTTGGGAAACTCATGGGCACGATCCCCTGGGAAACCAGTATGAGGGGGGGAGCAGCCTTACTGAGAGTGAAGAAACAAACCATCCTGATGTGCACGAAGACTAGCAAGTATGGCATAAGACCAACTTGGCTTAGCAGGGAACTCTTCAGTAAGCTAAATCAAAAAAAGGAAGCTTATAAATAGTGGAAATTTGGACAAACAACTAGGGAGGAGTATAAGAGTACTGCTTGGGCACGAAGGGATGAAGTCAGGAAGGCCAAAGTGCAACTAGCAAGAGATGTGAAGGGTAACATGAAGGGTTTCTACAAATATGTCGGTAACAAGAGAAAAATCAGGGAAAGGTGTGGGTCCCTTATTGAATGGGGAAGACAATCTAGTGACAGAGGATACAGAAAAGGAGGAAGTACTTGATGCCTTTTTCACCTGTCCTCACAGGCGAGGTCAGCTCCCAGACTACTGCACCTGGCAGCAGTTTGGGGAGGAGGTGAGCAGCCAACCGTGGTGAAAGAACAGGTTAGGGACTATTTAGAAAAGCTTTTAGAAAAGTTGGACATGTACAAGCCCATAGGGTTGGGTGGGATGCACTTGAGGGTGCTGAGGGAGTTGGCTGATGTGACTGCAGAACCATTGGCCATCAATCTTTCAAAACTCATGGCAATCGGGAAAAGTCCCAGATGACTAGAAAAGGGGAAACACAGTGCTCATATTTAAGAAAGGGGAAAAAGAAGATTCAGGGAACTATAGACCAGTCAGCCTCACCTCAGTCCCTGGAAAAATCATGGAGCAAATCCTCAAGGAATCTATTTCTAAGCATTTGGAGGACAAGAGGGTGATCAGGATTGGTCAGCATGGATTCACCAAGGGCAAGTCATGGCTGACCAACCTAATTGCCTTTTATGATGAGATAACTGGCTCTGTCAATGAGGGGAGACCAGTGCATGTGGTATACCTTGATTTTAGCAAGGCTTTTGATATAGTCTTCCACAACAACAGAGAGTAGTGGTGGACGGGTTGTACTCAACCTGGCAAGATGTGAGCAGTGGGGTACCCCAGGGCTCGGTCCTCAGGCCCGTACTATTTAACATCTTCATCAGTGACTTGGACAAGGGGGTGGAAAGCACGCTGTCCAAGTTTGCTGATGACACTAAGATGTGGGGCGAGGTGGACACACTTGAAGGGAGAGAGAGGCTGCAACTAGATTTAGACAGACTACAAAAGTGGGCAGACGAGAATAGGATGGGGTTCAACGTAGACAAATGCAGGGTGCTGCACCTTGGAAGAAGGAATCCACAGCATACATACAGTCTGGGGAGTTCCCTTCTTGAAAGCACAGAGGCAGAAAGGGATCTTGGAGTCATTACTGACTCCAAGATGACATGAGCCGCCAATGCCAGACCGCAGCCAGCAAGGCCAGTCATACCTTGTCCAAAGGTGCTTCTCAAGCTGGTCCAGAGAGGTGATACTCCCCCTCTGTGTGACTTTGGTCAAGTCGCAGTTGGAGTACTGCATCCAGTACTGGGCACCACACTTCAAAAGGGATGTGGCCAGCCTGGAGAGGGTTCAGAGGAGGGCCACCCACTTGGTGAGGGCAGCAGGACAGGCCCTATGAGGAGCGACTGAAGGACCTGAACCTGTTCAGCCTCAGCAACAGGAGGCTGAGGGGGGACCTGGTGGCTGC